TATATAATTTTTTTTTGTAGACCGCGCACTTAGTAGACATGTGCAACCTGTAAATTATACTGATAGCCATGAAACCCTGGGGCACAGAAGATGCACCCCTTGAGCAGGCTCACTCTCATAGTGAACGCCTGCTGCATAGGATTTCCACTTCAATTACAGTATGGGCTTTATCTTAATGTGAAGATCATAGGGATTTATGGCAAATCACTGCATTGCTAATATTGGCATGTGCTGAGATTCAGCTTTGCATGAGGAGGAAGCTTTATTCACCTGAAAATAAGATAGTTTATATAATGATTAATGAATGGACCGAGATATGTTCTTATGTTCTGGCAGCTCATGTCATGGTGACCAAGTCAGCTTTGAACCATGTAGCTCAAGTAACAGTACCAGATGATGCTCGCTTGGTGTATGAAACAAACCACTAGTTGGTACACCTCAGTAAAGCTGTGGTTCATTGAGCAGCATGCTGGTGGCACTCAGCAGCTGTAGGGATTCCTGGAAAAAGTTTTGCTTGGAAATAACATTTTTCTTATTGGAGAGATTTGTGTTTTGTCTTTCATTGGTTCATTAGAAAGGTTAGAAAGCAAATGCATAACAGGCTGTGCCAGCTCAAATGAGGGGCAATGACATCTGGCAAAGAAGCAAGAACAAGGGTCAGGAAGAGGAGAGAGAAGCAATGGGATACGAGAAACCTTTAAACCACCTCTGCTAATGAAGGATTTGTGTAGCAGACCTACACTGAGATTACCCACCGCTATTCATTCACTGTGTAAGCAAGGCATGATGGTGAGGACCATAACAGCTGAAGGATTTAAAGCATGACTTTGAAATCAACAGTATGGGGGTGGCCTTACGACTGCCTTCAGCTGATCTGGGACAGTTTTTCTCTTCCTCTTCCATGTCCAGCCATGCATTCCCACTCTTTTTGCTGTGCTGGCAGTAGTCCTGACTTGCTGCTTGGTGAGCTCTAGAAACTAACTGTAAAAGGGAAAAAAGTACCAGTAGGAAGAGGCAGCTGAGGTGAGGAGATGAAGGAGGGACTGCTAATTTTGAGAGCAACACTGATTTAAGTTGGTTTAATGTGCTCTTGAAACCACTCCCAGGAACATTGGAAAAACCCTTCTAAACTTATTCCTTTGGATAAAGATTGACCCACTAAGGGAGGTTAAGAAAACTATGCCTGAGAAGTGTGGGGAGGTTGATGATGAGCTATTGGCCTTGGTGCAAGCCATTCACTCCACCTTCATCAGCACCAGGATTCTAGCTGTGCTTTTGGCTGCACATGACAGTACAGTGAGGAAAAAAGCAAGCCCATAGTATGTGACCTAAGAAGCTAGCTTGCTGCTAAATTCGTGCTAAATTATACTACTGATAGGAAAGGAGTGGCACTGACACCTGAAAGGACATGTACTTTCTTCTCTATGGATCACAAACTTAGAAAAAAGCCCTCTCCTAACTGTCCTCTTAGTACTTTAACCAAGGATGCTCTGTCTTATCTTATTTGTTTGAGCCACAAAGTCAGAGGGAATTCAAGTGCAAATTGTCACTAGTTCTTTAATTCTGCATTTATTAAGTGCTTTATTTTATTTTGATGGACTTGTGCCTTCTGTAGATCCACATAGCGGTTATTTTCTCCCAATCAGTATCTACTAGGAATAGCTACTGTAATTTCAAGGAAAAATAAGCAGCCGAAGAAATGTCAATACCTAAATGTGCCAGGTGACCCTTTGAAATCTTAGGTTTACAAGAAACTGTTGGTTTTTTCCTCCCAGCTTTTCTTTATTTTCTTACTTGTTTGAAAGAAATGGTCATGTTTTAATGGGGCCAAAAACCAGAATGTAATATCAATACACGATCATAGTAACATCATACAGGCTAGTATTTGAGGTAGATTTCTTTTGTGACTAATTTGGCAGAAGAAGTCTTCTGTTATTTGGTTTTTGTCCTTTTTTCACCTTTTGCTAGTATCTGAAGTCTTCTCCATTTCATTAAGAAGCAACAGGCATTTGAGGTGAGCACTGAAATAGCCAGCCAGGAGGGTGGCTTGTTGAAATACTTGTTTCTGAGGCTGACTGTAGCTTCATGTCTCCTCACATTCCACACTTCTGGTAGAAGTTCCCATACTAAAAGCAGTTACCTGTAATTCATGTAGGACCTGGACAAATCTCTGGAGAATAAAGGCAATATTGTATCTGAGGTTGCTTTCTACAGTTGCCTGGTTGTTACTGTGTCAGTAGGATGAAAGTATGGTTAGGATGATTTTCTAGACACTGATCTAGTTTATCTCTAGTTTGTCTCTTGACACTGCTTGTGCATATCTTATTCTAATGCCCAAGGACAGAGGTGACTTCAAAAGAAAGGCATTCACGTGAGCTCATTTATATTAAGCCTTTTGCAAAACATAACCACCTCATTTCTTCCTTCCTTGAAAAAACATTGCCATTTTACACAGGCACAGAGACTTTTTGATAGCATATCTGGAGTCCTGGCCATGGTTTTTAATTGCACTTTTCACACAGCTGGATCCTTAATGCCAGCCAAAGAGGAGAAAGGAGAAGGGGTTATTTTACCTGAAGTACATTAGAGGCTTTAGCACTGGGACTCATTCTGCTGGAGAGCTGTCCAGGTTCTGTGCTGATGGGCATCAGCATTAACCTCTAAAAGAAATTTATCTACTTTTGTGCCCAGAAGGTTTACTAAATTTGCTTTAGGGCTAGTAGTAGGTAAGCAAGATGAAAGCATGGTATATTTACTAACACTGGAATAAAAAAGTAAATGACTCACTACCTTAATAGATGCTGTGGATGTATTTTCACACACTCATCAGAGCTGGTGTGAGATCATCAGCAGCACCTTGTTTGCAGAACTGTTTCTGGAAATGATTTTTTTTTTTCTGGCAAACATAGTATAGTCTAGGTAGCTGCTAGTACAGATTCATAAACAGGTGATTTCTCCTGTTTACTTTGACAGACGTTTTTGGTTCTTCAGAATACAGCCCAAACATTTAATGGTGGGATTGGACTCCCTATGAACTTCCTGTGGCTTTTCAAGTTCCTCTGAAATGCTGAACTATGATGGTTATCCACACATAAAATCATAGACTCCATCACACCAGAAATAATTGAATTTAGCATGGCTTGAAGTAGAAAAGGGTTAACATTAAAGTATTTTATTTTCTGTTTCCTACGGTTGCTAAGAAGGTTGTGTGTAGACAGTTCAGCTGATGAATGCTTGTTTGGTTGGGAGATCAGGTCTTTGTTCTGTAATTTTCTTACAGTGTTTTTTGTTGAGGGACTGAAAAAGTTTTATAAACCTCACAACAGTCACAAACTAGGAAATAAGAAACACTTTGGCTAATTGAAGCTGCAGAGAAAAATAAAGTAGCCTTAAGGGAGTACACAGTATGGAAGCTGTGTCCATAGGTTTCTTAAATAGCTGCAGCCTTAGTTTTCTGTTTGCTTTTAGAGACAATATCCTCAGTGTCATGAAATCATCCACAAAAATTTAGTGTTGGCTTATAGGGGAATGCAACTTTCCTTGATTTGGATAATTCTGTTAATAAGGCAATTCAATTAATAAGGTGCAGAAATCCAGCAGGTTTAGTTTTAAAGTACTAAAATGTTCTGTTTGCTATCTTTCTTTAATTGCTTGGGAACACTGCCACCTACCAAATTGTCAAAAAAAAAACAACAACAAAACTTTGTTCAGCACTTTAGTCTGTCCTGGATATTTTCTAACTCTGCACTGTTACCAGTCCTTCTCTAATACATGCAAAGGTGGTTCTAAATTCTTGTATCTCTTGCACAGTATTAGGCAAGTTGTTCAACTCATATAAGCCATTGTATCAATATTAGGATACTTTGCTAATTCACGTGGCCTGAAAATGTGGCTTGATGATTTCTGGGTGGACTGTAACTTAAGCAAATGCCTTCAATCACTTTCCACTGTGGACTTCGTTAGTTTTAAAAATGCATTAATAGTAGCTGCAGAGAACAAAATACGTTCATCAGATGACAGCTTTCAAAAACCTGAACAGCATTCTAAAGCAAGTATGAGGGGAAACATTAATCTGCATTTCAGTTATCTTTATCTAAAGAGGTTTTTTTTCTGTCTTCCTCAGCAATGAAATGTCCCACATATTTGACATATGATCACTGCCACAGAGCCTGTATAAAGCACTGTGAGAATAGTACCACACTCAGTGTCTGTAAGGATTATCCCACAGAAGGCTGCTTCTGTCCAGAGGGACAGGTGATTTTTAATGACAGCTGTGTTGGTGAAGAAGTCTGCACACAATGCATCAGTGAAGACGGCACACACCATCAGGTAACCCTATGTTTAGCAGCTTACCTTTGTAAGTGGTAGTGATTCAAGCTTGTGCAAGTAAATCTATCTTACAAGTCTAACTGTTTTCCACTTTGAACACTGTATTTTCTAGCTCAGTTCCTCATAACCGGCCGGCTGTCAGCCCCATGTAGCTCCCCTAGTGTGAAATTGGCTGGGATGGATATAAAATTCACAGCTGGGACTGTACAGACCCGGAAATGCATGACAAATTTGTGTGGAGGGAGGTCTAGAGGGAAGAGAGAAGGAATGGAATAAGTCAACATCTACCAAGATAAACACCTTCATTCAGCAGATTTTACCAGTACTGGCAATTTAATAATAAATCTGGAAACCTTACTTAAATTTGTATTAAACCTTGCCTAAAATCATAGTGTCTTCACAAAGCTTGCTGAAATATTTTTAGTGATTGGTGTGAAACAATGAGACCGAGATGACCTTATGTCAAGTTGTATTAGCCTACCTCCTTTTGTTTTTTATTTTTGATGCAAATCTTTCCTGTGATGAAATTGATTGATCTTTTTAGTTTTACTGAAAATCCACTTTCCTCAGCTAAGTCAGACCTGTCTCAGAATGGGATTGGAAGAGGTTCATACAGGTGCTGCATGCCAGACTGCAGTGAAAGAGATGTGATTTCACTTTCAGTATCACACAGTGGGTGTGCAAGCTGCTCTCTGCATTCCCTGTTCCAAGTAACAGAGGTTGTTTCTTTTCAGCCCCAGCTACTCAACTCTGGGAGTTTTCACCTGTCAGCCAGTCCTCTTAAATCTGCAGGTTTTTTATGAGACTTTAAAAGGGAACAGCTTTAATTATTTTTGAGCTTTAGATTCTTATGGGATTTTTGGATGGTTTTATCATAGTCATCAAACCTGCTGTCAAAGACATAATAGTTTTTGCAACATAGGTTTTCTGTAAATAATGGAAGTCTGTGTGTTTGTGGATAGCCTATTCTTTAAGTAAAAAGATAGATTTAGAAAAGTAAATGAATGTATGTACTCTGAATAACTTTATTTTACACTGTCAAATTTAGACTCATCTTTCGTTCAGCAAGAAACATATTATAAACATGTGCAATTAAACTGAAAGAAAGCAAAGACTATTTGTGGGTGAAACATATCTTTTAAATACTGTTTGCACTGATAACATAATGACAAAAGCATCAAACTTAACAAAGCGAACGCCTTTCTTTAGGTGATAGGGTACCAGCAAGCAATGCACTTGGCTTAGTGAAGCAAATGTTCCAAGCAGTGCTTGGCCAATGCAAGAGCTGTACTGATTGCAGGTCTGCACTGGGAGTCCCGCCTGTGTCCGTGCAGCCTGGCCTCGCACAGGACAGGTCCATACTGCTCTGTGGATCCCATCTTGCCATGGCTTCTGCCTTTGTGCTGCCTGCTGCTACTGTCAAAGCACAGTGGATGGAAAAAGCGTTCACTAAATACAATTTTGAGCATTTCCTACTTCTGGGCAAGGGATTGGTACAGGAGCATTAAGGCTCAGGTGTACATACGCCACGGATTTTTGGCAGTGAGAGGGAAGACACAGGAAAAGTGTGTTCTTTCATTCCGCAATTGCATTATCCGAACATTTTTCAAAACAGAAGGTTAGAGTTTTCTGAAAGACCGAGCACGTGGCTCTTGTACTAGCTTTTATTTTAAGGTTACAGTATCTCCATATATATGGCCATGATTTTTGGTTTTTAATTCTGTTTTGGATCATTGTTTTAAATACTGTATCATTGGGTTTGTGTAGTGTTTATGGAGTTGGTAAAACGGAAGGAAAAAAATCATAGTATTTTTTGTAATAAAAGGAATAGAAAAAAATATTATTTCTCTTGAGGGACATAATAGCTTGCAATGTATATGATCACTGCCCTAAACACAGATCAATTGTGCACAACTCTCAGTGATCCTCACAACTCTAGTTATTGTATTATGGTTCCATGTGAAATGGTTGTTGCAAATTGCAAATTCAAGTCTAGGATCCGTGTACTTTAAGCCCCTGAATCCTCAGGAAATGTGGTGTGTTTTCCACTTAAATACTTGTTTCAAGCTCTCATGGAGAAAAGCTCAGTGCACATCTTGGGAATAATGTCTGCAGTGATATCTACTTTTTTCTGCAGAAGCTCGGAAATTCGTGAGTTGTTGCATGCCCCATAATGGAGTTTTAACTCTGAAAACCTCTCATCTGTACACCAATGGCAAGGCTTAGATGCAGCTGCTGTGTGGATGGGGATGTGGAGGGCAAGGGAGGATCAGCTCACACAGCCGTTTTGCATCTCCACCACTGGAGGATTAGCTGTGTGAGCAATGCAACAGGCAGTACAACTGGTGGTGGGTTATGGTTACCTTAACTCCCTTCTTTCCCTCTGGTGTTTGTTCTTTCTAACTCAGATCATGCTTGGGCTTACAGGATTCTCAGTACCAATGCCCATTTAGAGCTGCACTAACACCATGCGATCTCTTGTAATTTCTTCTGGTATTAGAAAGTGACTCCTGCTTATGCTGAAGAAAACCTGTGCTGAAAATTTTAGAGCAAATGTGATTCTCTTTGTGTTTTGAAATGTCCATACACTTTTCATATCACCACGTGCAAATGTAGGCATTATCTATCAGCTGCCTTTTCAGGACTTTTTAACCCTGATGCCATTGAGTGCTCTGGCAGAGGGCTCTGACTTTTTTTTTCCAAGCCTGAGATAATGTTCTTTACTAGCAATACGTTGATGTAAGCTTTCTTTGACTAAAAAAGATTTCCTATGAATTAACCAACCCTATATGATTTGGTTCCTAAGCTTCATTAAACATCTGGTTGGCTTGTTTTAGCATGCCTGGTGTCTTATTCTTGCCATGCAGTTAACTTTTGAAAGTAAACTGTCTTTTCAGACTTCTGTGGTGGCTTAAAATACATAGATATCTCTGGGTACAGGTGGCAGTATGCTTAGGCATTTCCTTCCTTTTTTCTTGTTACTAAGGCACTCAGCAGACTGTTATTTTTAAACTGCACTCCAGAGTTTTCTGGATGTCACCTTTTCCCTTTGTGGCATCCTAACCTACTCTACATGTTCTCACCCAGAACCTGGACCAATTGTGCAAATGTCCCATACTGCATCTTTTCACCTCCCTATTCACATGGGTGTTAAATGTGGATAGTTCGTTATAGGTAACTACATCTTTAACATTAATGATTTCCCTCTCTCATGAGAAGGAGCAGTGGTTGAATAATGATACAATTTACTGTCAGTTTCTGAATGTGCTTCTTACTGCCAGGTAATCACCACAGTGATGGTTTCAGATCTGGGGCTGCTATAGTGCTTTTCCAGTCTTCCATCCATTGGGAAAACAAGTGATGACACCCTACATGTTCTTAATTAAAAATTTGTGCTGTGTATTTCTCTGTGTTTAAGTAATACTAATTTGAGAAAACAGCCACTTCTATGTATTTCCCAAAATACTGTTGTTTCCCTTATTATCACCGAACATCCAACCATGGTATGTAGTTGCACAAATCCACTGTTACTCACAATAGCCTGCAATTGCATTTATAGCATCTGAGCATTTTTAATGTTAAAAACAATAGTAATTCCTCATCCCATTCATGCATTCTTTACATCTTTTGCTAAATGTGTACATTACAGTCATTTCAGAGGTATGTGTCTCCTTAGATTCATATTGTTAACAGAGCAACCAACCAATCCTGCATAGTCTTCTGGATTTTCAAATTAATGTTATTTACCTTCACTCACTCCCATTGTAAACATACCAATGACCAGAATATTTAATTTCTTTCTAACAATCTTTTTTTTTTTTTTTTTTTTTAATGCAGCACATGGAAACATGGATTCCTGCCAATGAGCCTTGCAAGATCTGTACATGTCTTGATAACAATAAAGTAAACTGCACGGTCCGACCTTGCCCTACTGCCAAACGTAAATTGGTTTAGCTCTAAGTATCATTGGACTTGAATTGATATTTTTGTTATTCATTTTTCTAGTTCTTATCCAAACTTGTTTTATGGATGTTTTCTTCTTACTCCAGCTGTTCAGTGTGGTCCCTGTGAAGTTCCTCGTCTGCACAGGGACCCCAGCCAGTGCTGCCCCGAGTACGAGTGTGGTAGGTTCTCATGAACTGTTGGAATTTTCTTGGTCCATGTTTTTACCAGATACTTCAAAGGTGTACAATACCTTTTTTATTTAATGCAATGTTCCATTTTTAAAACCACTGAATAACTGTACATTCATGTATGTGGAAAAACAAAGAATTCATGAGGATGTGAGTCTTCATTCACTTTCAACTTTGTCCCTCTTTCTGTAAGGATAATGAAGGGAATGGAGCAATTTGGTTTTGTCTAAATAACATTAGAATAGTCTATTTCAAGTATCTATTTTTGCATGATCTATATTTACACATTAAAAATAACATCAGAACCTTAATCCTCATAACCCAAGCTTGAACTCTTCCCTAAGCTATTTTGAAAACAAATTCTGACATGCTGAACTCTAGCTTACTTCGTATTTTAGGATAGCAATTGAGCATAGAGAAAAAAGTTTAATGAGAATGCGCAAGTGCATGTGTCTTTTCTTGAAGGCTAACTAGTCAGGCGTGGTCTTAAACACTCTCAATTTTTCTTCTTAGTCTGTGATCTGGTTTCCTGTGATTTGTCTCCTGTCCCTGTCTGTGAGTTTGGCCTGCAGCTTGCTTTGACCAACCCTGGAGAATGCAGACCAAATTACACATGTGGTGAGATGTTTTTTTAAACAAGGACTGACACTGAAACATTGCATTTGACCAACACTGACAACTTCCTTTAGACATAATTTTTTCTCTTTGAAAAGTTTAATTTTGGAGCCAGTGGACATGTAATGATTTCATAGACTTGGAAGAAGGGTGTTGTTGGCACTTTCTCAGTTTGCTTTTGAATTAAGGAAAAGAAACACTTTACTCTTGGACGTGTGTGCTCTGACCGTTATGCTTATCATATAAATGTGTTTGATTGTACATGAGGCAAGAGTTTTTTGGCAGGGTAGGAACTTTTCCTGAATGTGCAGCACAATCTTAGACCTGGGTCATTATGTCTGCATTACTGCTTAGTCTTTAAGTAGATTTATAACAGTCTGCACTAGCAATTAGTGCCTTGCTGCCAGAGAACTGTCTTGTTCACTTGCAGTGCTCTGAAATGCCATATGCTTGACATGGTGCCTACCTTTTTTCTGCCAGAGTGTAACAGAGAGGCATGCAGCTTAGTTCAAAGACCTTCCTGCCCGCCGCATCGAGAGCTGACTGTTAAGAAGACTGAGTGCTGTGATAAATATGAGTGTACCTGCAGCTGTACGAACTCAACAGTGAGCTGTCCTCTGGGATATCTATCCAGATCTCTCACCAATGACTGCGGCTGCATGTCTACCACCTGTATTCCAGGCAGGGTAAGGGGAATGAAGTGTCATTTCCACAGATGAGAGTATCTTTTATACATGGAGTGACAGCACCAAAGTAATCTGGTAGCTAAGTATTAACAAACTCCCAATGAGACTACTGGATAATGATGCCAGGGCATTTTTAATTTACAGGTGTCTGAGAGAAATATACTGTTGCATTACACTGTTGCTTGTTTTATTACAGTCATTTTATTCTGACATAATCAGCCAATTTTTTGTGACTTTCAGTTAATCAGATTATAT